CAATGGTGACCGCCCCTCGACTGCACTGGCTAATAGCCGTGCACGTCCCACCCTGGGAGGCGGGGCCGGAGGCGACAGGGTATCCTGGGACTCACAGGCTCTGCTGCGCCGCAACTGCTGGCTCCGCCTCTGTCGCGCTCTAGCTCCGCCCCCTGTCCCAGCTCCACCCCCGTCTTGGCCCCGCCCCAATCCGGCAAGGGACTGCTAGCGCCACCTGCCGGTAACCAGTGCTTGTTAATAAATAAAACCGTTATAGAATTTTACACCCGTCAAAGGGATCTGAGTGTTCGTCACCTCCCTTACGCTTCCCATCAATCCTGGGGGAGACACGTATGCTCACATTTTACAGAGGGAAAACAGATGATTAGAGAGAGAGGTTAAGAGGCCGTGGAAGAGCCCAAAGCCAACATCATTCATTCATTCATGCAATAGATTCATTCACTAGATGTAATATAAACATAAAGAGAGCCTATTATGCCCTGGCCGATGTGGCTCGGCTGAACATCGTCCTTTGCACCAGAGGGTCGCCGATTGGATCCCAATGTCTCTCCCCCTCTCCCTTCCACTCTAAAATCAATAAATACATATACATATATATTTTTAAAAATCCTATTATGAGTAGGCACTGTGCTAGGCGATGGGAACACAATGTTGAGTAAGAGAAATACTGCTGCCCTTATGGACCTAATCTAGGGTATGAGACAGAGCTAAAATAATTAATTATGCTATAAATTATTATAAGAGTGATAAATTGTAGCCCTGGTCAGTTTGGCTCAATGGTTAGAGTGTCTGCCAGAAGACTGAGGGGTCTTGGATTCGATTCTGGTGAAGGGTATGTACCTCGGTTGCAGGCTCGATCCTGAGGCAACCAATCAATGTGGTTTTTTTGTCACATTGATATTTCTGTCTCCCCCCCTCCCTTCCACTCTTTCTAAAAAAAATCAACAAAAAAATTTTTTTAAATTTCTCGGGTAAGGATTAACAAAAGTGATAAATTGTAGCAAGTGAGAGAAGCATATCATGGAATAATTTGGAAAATCCAAAATTATGTCCTTGAAGCAGCAGCAATTGAACTGACAAGGTATGAGTGGAAGTTAACTAGAAGAGGGGGGAAATGCTAGGCAGAGTTCAAGCACATGCAAGAAGCCTCAATAATACTCTTCCTGCCTCTCCTTTAATATACAGATGAGTTCAATTGCCTCAGTTAAATTCTGTTGTTATACTAGCATATATTTTTCTAAATTAAAAGATAAATCATAACATTTTTAAAAAGATTACCTATAGAGGGAAAGAATAGGATGGAAGGGACAGAGATAGAAGGTAGACTTTTAAAAAGTTTTATATATTTGACTTTACAACCATGCAAATTTTATATAATTATAAAACAAAACTTAAAGATACCTCTAAACACAAAAACTAATGAACCTATGCATCCAGTTGATGCCAAAACAACACAAAGATGAACTCCTAGTGACTTTAAAACACAACAATTTGACTGTACATACCACTACTATATTGGTGGTGGTGGTGTTAAAATTGTTGTTCTAAACGTGTTGCATGTGTAGTATGGGATAAAACAAAGGAATAATTATGTTGATGTAAAAAAACTGGGCTTTTCAGAGGGAGTGAAATTGAATTGGGAGTATCTTGAATTTAGAGTATCATGATATATTTTATCTTTAGAAAAAGCAAACATTTCTTAGTTTTGTCTACTAAAAAGGTCAGAAACAAAGTCCAACCTCATTGCAATGAGCACTCCTTAAGCTTGTGGTCTTTAAATACCATTTCCAATGGAAGGAACCAGAGAACCTTGGGGAAAAGTCTGATTCTGGGTCTGGTCCAGGAAATGTACAAAATAAACTTGGCACATCGTGATATACCAGAAAGCACAAGAATTACCAAAGACATTACCTACTAATGTAGTGTCAGTGTTGGCCAACTAGAAGAAGCTTCCACTGGCCACAAAATGGATAATTTGGCCTCCAATAAGGATAACAATTACAGCTCAACACATCAAATGTTTAAATCTACTCACTCAGGTTTTAAATTTTTTATCTTAAAATAATGCTGAATTTACATAGAAGTTGCAGAAATAATGCACAGAGCTCCCATAAACCTTTTGCCCAATTGTTAACATTTCAGAATCCTTCGAGTATCAGCTACACACATGGTATCTCATTAACCCTTAATACTTCAGTGTATTTTTCTTCAGTACATTTTTCCACATACTCTCAGTACAACCTTAAAAATCAGGAAATTAATATTGATCCAATATTACCATGTAATTCCTATATATTATTAATAGTTTCAATGAAGTCCTTTAAAGCTCCAGAATCCATCCCAGGATCACGTTCTATTTTGTTACCTAATTCAATCTCCTTCAGTCTAGAACAGTTCCTCAATCCTTCCTTGTCTTTCACGACCTTGATACTTTGGAAGATTACAGGCTAGTTATTTTGTAGAAAGCCTTTCAACGGTTGTTTGTCTAGTATTTCCTCATGACTTATGCATTTGGGAGAGGAACCACAAAAGTGGTGTTTTCAGTGCATACATATATCAAGAGGCATAGAATGTTGATTTCTTCCATCACTGATTATGCTAACCTGATTAAAATCGTCTGCCAGGTTCCTCCAGCATGATTCAGTATGTTGTACTTATTAATAAGTGGTTTATGGGAATATACTTTGAAACTAATTATCCTGTTCCTCAACAAACCTTCATCCACCAGATTTAATGTCCATTAATGAGCCGATTTTTGTTGTTGTTAGCTTCAACAACAAGTTTCATTTTTACTTACAAGAATTCTGGAGGATTCAACAATAAAGATAATTTTTTTTTTTATTCTGGAGGATGGATGCTGGCATTGGTTTGGTCAAATGATGACAGGGTCAATGACTTGGAGATTCTATTGGCCTTTTTCTCATGGTAGCAAGATAGTTGCTATAGGGTGAAACTAGTCTGTATGAAGTTTGGTAGTAGCATACAGGGGCTCATTTGACAGTTCAAGCCTGTAGAGAATTTTTATGACTTTATTTGAGACAAAACTGATGACATGTGTAGGGAGCAAGATCTCAAATGCTCTGCAAAATAACAGTTTGCAGTTTCTTTTATGCATTCAAAATTAAGGAAGGAACAGATTATATGAAGGTAGGATAACGCAAAGTGGGGATTGGATTATAGGATAGTTAAGATTATGCTCTCTTGAGGATGGTTACATCTTAAAGGAGGAGTCTGAGAGGGTGGTTCGCATTAGAAAGGGGTCTAAAAAGAGGCATTTCAATGGTGTGTTAATCTGCATGCACAGAAAACAATGGACAAGGTTTGCTTAAGGCAAGGATAAACCCTTTACTAAAAAGTTACATGCCTGCAATGTGACCACCCACCATGACCAGACCAAATAGGAATTTATGATCACATCACCCTATGAGGTCACTTTTCATAGAATCCCTTTTTTCATCTACAGATTCATTAGACT